TTCAATTCCTCGGTATCTTGTAATTGTACTCCAATTGCAATTACAAATTACATTGTAATTTAAATTACACGAAAATCCGAATTACGATGTGACCGAATGTAATCGAATCCCTTTCTAATTATAATAATCCTCAGTTCTCTCGCTTATTATGTCATTAATTTCTCGAATACTTTTATTCAAAACATTTTCTTAATNTTCAATTCCTCGGTATCTTGTAATTGTACTCCAATTGCAATTACAAATTACATTGTAATTTAAATTACACGAAAATCCGAATTACGATGTGACCGAATGTAATCGAATCCCTTTCTAATTATAATAATCCTCAGTTCTCTCGCTTATTATGTCATTAATTTCTCGAATACTTTTATTCAAAACATTTTCTTAATCATTTCCACATTCTTTTTATTTGAGAGAACCTTGAATCGAATAAAAATACCGTACTTTTATAACATTAATATCAATGGTACTTAATTTTAGTACAATTATATTATTTATTTAATTATTTATTTATTATTATTTATTTTATTATTATTATTTTTTTTTTATATATATTTATTTACTTTAATTTTGTTACACCGAATGGCGCGAAATTTAAAAGTAACCCTAAAAAATGCACGCGCTTTATATTCGAATGTCTATGAAAGCTTGCAGAAATTCGAAGCAACCATTTCACCCAAAAATCCACTATCAGTATGCATCAATTTCCGATCGGACTTTCGCAAAGATTCACCGACGCGTTTCACGAACGTTTCATTGGCTCCGCGAAATATAGTTTGTTTGTCCCTGTCACGTGACTCATCGGGCCCAGCGAGGAATCACGTTCGCTTGTCCCTTTAGATTAATCAGAGCGACCATTTTACCCCAAAATTCAGTAATAGTATGGATCAATTTCCGATCGGACTTTCGCAAAGATTCACCGACGCGATTCGCGAACGTTTCGTTGGCTCCGCGAAATACAGTTTGTTTGTCCCCGTCACGTGACTCGCCGGGCCCGGCGAGGAATCGCGTTCGCTGGTCTCTTTAGACTAATGGGCCAGACAAATCGGAGCGGCCATTTTGCCCCAAAATCCACTATGGATCAATTTCCGATCGGACTTTCGCGAAGATTCACGAACGTTTCGTCGGCTCCGCGAAATACAGTTTGTTTGTCCCCGTCGCGTGACTCACCGGGCCCGGCGAGGAATCGCGCGTTCGCTGGTCTCTTTAGACTAATCGGCCAGACAAATCAGGTAGCCGTTTCCCATGCGACGTGTTCAAATGATAGAGACGTATTACCCGGCGCGGCGCGGCGCGGCTCGCCGTGGAAAAACGTCCCGCTTCGAATCAAATTAAGAGAACCCGGCGCTGATCCGTCATTTTCTTTCGATCGTATCGGCCGTCGCGGCGCGTTCGCGTTCAGCTGTATCTAATTAAATCCGCTAGTCCTCTCGGTGTTCCGTTCGTCCGGTTCTATTTGTCGCGTTATTTATTCCCGTCGCGGCGCCTGTCCTTGCTACCGGAGGCAGACCGGTGCAACTCCGCAGAATTAATTTCAGATAAACGCGTGTCTCTTGCCACCGGTTTCCTGGAAGATTGTTCGCCGATAGCACGGGCCGCGCGCGGCTCGCACGAATCTGTGTCGCTACCCGCTTAACATCGCGCGCGCGCGCGCGCGGTGCATATACGTATATACGTGTATTATGTACATACATATACAGGCTGTTTCACTGAAGGTGTTACAAAGCAATTGATCTCGGTTGTCGTTAACGATACGCGAGAATGCTAGAGGAACGAATTGTAACGTTCGATGGGACGCATGTTACAATGGCAATAGTTTCTTTTTTGAAGGTCGTATACTTTGAAATTTCAAGGTCATCGATATTTTTTTATATCGGATTATATATTTCTGTCGTTGTGCTATGATAGCTGAGATCGAGACGAATGCAATGAACTGCAATAACGTGACCTTCGCGTGACCTTGAGTAGGAATAAATTAAACTTAAAACGTTTGGAAAATGAACACGAGTGCTGGACTATAACGGAGAGATCGACGATGGAAGATTTAGTGGAATAAATTGTTTCCAAAATTATTTCCATTGTGTTCTGCACGTTTTTTCAATTCGTTTTTTTTATTCGTGTCGCGGCCGATTTCGGCGCGTCAATTCAAATCGCGACGAGCAGTGCGATGCTCGACCAACTCAAGGTCACGTGAATATAATTAGAGAAAATAATATATATACATATTATTTATACATTTATATTATTATATTTATTATTATATAATAATGTATAATTATATTACAATTAATTATATTAATTATATTATATATTATATTACATTATAATAAATATATTATATTATAATATTATAATAAATATTAATTATTATAAATAATTACATTACATTATAATAATAATTTACAATAAAATTATCGATCGCGTTTAAATATTTGTGTCCAGGTCCAGGAATCAACATGAACGCGACAGGGAAGAACGTCAGCTCTATAACTAGAGGTTGCACCCTGGCCAGCCAGTTTCATCTGGCAGGAGCCTCGTGGCATCCCTATCTGCCGCCTGTAGGATTCGACACTTGCGCAGTTTGCACTTGCGACGTAAGTTCACAAAGCAGTCTCTTTCATCTATATCTTCTAAAATGAAAATAAAATTCGAAAATAATATTGCATTTTCTTTTTCTAATGTTATATTTTCATTTTGCTATTTTATGCACATTTGGCAGTGTTAGCATGCGCTTACGTTTCGGGTTAATATTACACTCTCGTTGACTCAAGAGCACAGTCAAAGAAAAGCTTTTCCCATTTCTACCGTCGAGCTTTTCGTTTTTTGTTACGGGGATTCTCCGTTTCGGCGGAGAAAAGCGGAAGAAAGCTTCTTAAAAAAAATGTTTTTAGAAAAACGTTTGAGTGTCTGCTATAACGCGATTCTCCACAACGCGGTACAATAATGACTCTCTAATTGACGCTCAGATAACAGTAATGTCTCCCCAACTGACGCTCAGATTGTCCATTTTTGTGCGTCAGTAAGGGAGACATTACTGTATCCACAAAAGTGGACAAGTTAGGAAGAGAAGATACGATTATTCGATCGTTGCGGTTCATTGTTATAGTTACGAATTGACGACAATTATAAAAATACGAACTGCGTGCCTCGAATAATCGTATCTCCTCTTCCCAAAATATACATTAGATTTAGTGGATTTAGTGGACAATCTGAGCGTCAGTAAGGGAGACATTACTGTACAGCGATTTCTCCCTAATTCGCGCACAGATCGCCCACAAAAATGGACAATTTGGGAAAAGGAGATACGATTATTCGAGCCTTGCGGTTTATTTTTAGTTATAAATTGTCCACGATTATAAAAACGAGTCGCAAGGTTGGAATAATCGTATCTGCTCTTCCCAAATCATCCATTTTAGTGGACAATCTGAGCGTCAGTAAGGGAGACATTACTGTACAGCGATTTCTCCCTAATTCGCGCACAGATCGCCCACAAAAATGGACAATTTGGGAAAAGGAGATACGATTATTCGAGCCTTGCGGTTTATTTTTAGTTATAAATTGTCCACGATTATAAAAACGAGTCGCAAGGTTGGAATAATCGTATCTGCTCTTCCCAAATCATCCATTTTAGTAGACAATCTGAGCGTCAGTAAGGGAGACATTACTGTACAGCGATTTCTCCCTAATTCGCGCACAGATCGCCCACAAAAATGGACAATTTGGGAAAAGGAGATACGATTATTCGAGCCTTGCGGTTTATTTTTAGTTATAAATTGTCCACGATTATAAAAACGAGTCGCAAGGTTGGAATAATCGTATCTGCTCTTCCCAAATCATCCATTTTAGTGGACAATCTGAGCGTCAGTAAGGGAGACATTACTGTACAGCGATTTCTCCCTAATTCGCGCACAGATCGCCCACAAAAATGGACAATTTGGGAAGAGGAGATACGATTATTCGAGCCTTGCGGTTTATTTTTATAGTTATAAATTGTCCACAATTATAAAAACGAGCCGCAAGGCTCGAATAATCGTATCTCCTCTTCCCAAATTATCCATTTTAGTGGACAATCTGAGCGTCAGTAAGGGAGACATTACTGTACAGCGATTTCTCCCTAATTCGCGCTCAGATCGCCCACAAAAATGGACAATTTGGGAAGAGGAGATACGATTATTCGAGCCTTACGGTTTATTTTTATAGTTATAAATTGTCCACAATTATAAAAACGAGCGCAAGGCTCAAATAATCGTATCTCCTCTTCCTAAATTATCTATTTTAGTGGACAATCTGAGCGTCAGTAAGGGAGACATTACTGTACAGCGATTTTTCCCTAATTCGCGCTCAGATCGCGCACAAAAATGGACAATTTTGGAAGAGGAGATACGATTATTCGAGCCTTGCGGTTTATTTTTATAGTTATAAATTGTCCATAATTATAAAAACGAGCCGCGAGGCTCGAATAATCGTATCTCCTCTTCCCAAATTATCCATTTTAGTGGACAATCTGAGCGTCAGTAAGGGAGACATTACTGTATTTTCAAGGAACGTGTCTACCGCGTTGCAGAAGGTTAATCTATGTAATAGTAATCGGAACTGTAAAACACACGGTAGAGCTGCAGCAACTATTTCACGAAAGAACCCGTGCTCCGTCTACGTCTACTAAATTTATTCTACCAAAAAGAAAGGTTTCGGTTCGAGCGGAACTCTCTATCTGGAATCCAATCTCAGCTTTCGCCTGGGCCCCGGCTATAATAATTCTCGAAGCCGATGTGTTCCGAGCTCCCGGCGACGAGTTTCGAAATCTAGGAATTTGAATAATTTCAGCATAGTTTGAAATCTTCGGCCGAGATAGCGGATTCCGCGGCTCGGGCTCGCCGCGACCGGCCGATTCCGCGCGCGCGTCACGTTTCACCCGATTCTTTGTTTACCTCGTTACCATAACGTCCGCCGCGACCAGCCGAAGCCCGAGCGGTTTCGTAATGATTCTCGACGCGATCCTCTCGCGACACACATTCGTTAGAATGACCGACCCGGCGTTGCGTTACGGCAAACCGGCGAATCTGCTCGCGATTGCTCGCCAAAATGATTTCATTCGTTTCTGTGGAAAGGGGAGCACTCGGGAATTAAAGAATTGAATTTTATTTTTCAATTAACAATTCATTCTTCGATGAACAATTTACGTTATAGTTAAAATTAGTTTTTCAATTAACAATTCATTTTTTAATTAATATTCATTCTTTAATGAGCAATTCATTTTTCAATTAAAATTCAATTCTTCAATGAACAATTCATTCTTCAATTAATAATTCATCCTACAATTGAAATTCATTTTTCAATTAACAATTAATTCTTCAATGAACAATTCATCTTTCAATTAAAATTCATTCTTCAATGAAGAATTCATTTTTCAATTAGAATTCAATCTTCAACTAAAATTTATTCTCCAATCAGTAATTCATATTTCAATTAAAATTCATTCTTCAATGAAGAATTAATTCTTCAATTAAAATTCATTCTTCAATGAACAATTCACGTTACAATTAAAATTCATTCTTCAATTAACAATTAAATTTTCAATTAAAATTCATGCTTCAGTGATCAATTAATTCTTCAATTAAAATTGATTCTTCAACTAACAATTCAATCTTCAATGAACAATTCACGTTTCAATTAAAATTCATTCTTCAATTAACAATTAAATTATCAACTAACAATTCAATCTTCAATGAACAATTCGCGTTTCAATTAAAATTCATATTTCTCAATTAACAATCGATGTTCGAATGTACGATTAATTTTCCGCCGAACAAAACGATATCCTGTTTAATTTAGCCCGATTCTAAATGGTTATCGAGCACCGTGCGCAGCCGCGTCGCGTCGGGCTGAAAAATTTTCTGGCGAGCGTGCCCGTTGCGCCAGAAGAATGCGGTTGCACTCTGCCGAGTCATGAAGGAGCACAGCGCGCGACCGATCGGTGATCAGTGACAGGCCTTTCTAAACAGATATTAGTAAATTGTTTGGAGTCATGGTTGAAACGCGTTGCAACCGGTCATGTTCGTTACTCGAGATAACGCGATCGGTTTTGATCCATTGCTTGTCACTGAAATTACGCTTGGCCAACGCCGTGCGCATGAACGCGTGCGCGCGCGCGCTCGCGCGCACTATTAAAAAACCCGCTCGAACGCGCCGACGAATAATCGCGACTGGACGCGGGCCGATCGCTCCGCTGAGTTTCGCCGCATTGTGTCGATTTTTCCACGGATCTTTCCGACGCACGCTTTCCGCGCTGTCGAATGGAATCTTGTTCTCTAATCGTTTTCAATCGTTTCCGGCTGTGCGTCGAAATGATTTTTGCGTTAACAATTATTTATTTCGCCGCTCGACATTCGTATCTGTCAACTGTTCTTCCTTCCAATCTCTTTTTAGATTCCTAAACCCCAGGCGTGCTTAAGGAAGGATCGAAAAATGTCCACAAAATTTTTAAAATATATTTTTATTCCAACAATGTTCTTTTACAAATTGCTTTTATTTTATTTCCGCAGACACCTAAATATATTATTAAACGTCATTGTATAAATAAATATACACCAAACGGAAAAAAATACTTATAACGATGTCAAATAATATTGACAATATTTTTATATAGTTACAAATGATCCTCCCTTAAACAAACCTAATGTTCGTCGACGTTCCAAACGAGTTATTTATTATACAATACGCGTGATGCAATATAATTGTACGATATATTTGTATAATATATTGTATACAATATTATATACATTAATNGTATTGTATAATATATGGTATACAATATTATATACATTAATTTATACAATATACAGTATAATATACGATATAATATATTGTAGAATATATTATACAATACAATATACAATATAATATACTGTAGAATGTACTATAGAATTCAATATACAATATAATATATTGTAGAATATATTATACAATATAATATACAATATAATATATTGTAGGATGTATTATACAATACTATATACAATATAATATATTATAGAATATATTATACAATACAATATACAATATAATATATTGTAGAATATTTTTGCAATACAATATACGATATAATATAGTGTGGAATATATTATACAATACAATATACGATATAATATATTGTAGAATGTATTATATAATACAATATAAAATATAGAATATATTATACAGTACTATATACAATATAATATATTGTAGAATAATTATACAATACAAAATACAATTTATTATCTATTGTAATATATTGTACAATATATTATATCATATTGTATATTGTACAAATTATTGTACAAAATCACATTTTCCACGGATCTTTCCGACGCACGCTTTCCGCGCTGTCGAATGGAATCTTGTTCTCTAATCGTTTTCAATAGTTTTCCGGTCGTGCGTCGAAATGATTTTTGCGTTAATAATTATTTATTTCGCTGCTCGACATTTATATATCTGTCAACTGTTCTTCCTTTCAATCTCCTTTTAGATTCGAAAACCCTAATCGAAAAATCTCCACAGAATTTTAAACATATATTTTTGTTCCAACACAATATTTTCTGTTACAAATTACTTTTATTTCATTTCTGCAGACACCTAAATATATTATTAAACGTCATTGTACAAATAAATATACACGAAACGGAAAAAAATACCTATAACGATGTCAAATAATATTGACAATATTTTTACGTGGTTACAAATGATCCTCCCTTAAGCGTCCTAGAGTTAATAAATGACATGTTGCAAACCTGCGAAATAGTACAAAAATATTGAACATACGAAACAAGAATAGATTACCAGACTGCGGATTTTAAAATAAAAATTGTCTGCGTTATTGGCAAGAAATAGAAACTAAATAGTAAGTTAATTCCTTCTGTAATCACTCTTTACTCGATTAAAAATAACACGCTGACCTTTCTAACCTCTTTTAATATCTCTTCTATTTCGCATAATAATAATAATAATAATAATAATACTAAATGCATAAAATCCGCATTCTAGTCGTAAGCGTTCCAATAATAATCATAAGCATCGTTAGAGCCGTCTAAAGATGCCATTAATCTTGCAGCCGATCACGCTGGAGGTGAAATGTCCACGGGTCCAGTGTCCGCCGTTGGACTGCGACGAGAAGCTCGCGTTCAGACCGAGCAAGAAGGCCTGCTGCAGACAGTGCCCGACGACGACGCCGAGCTCCGTGAACACAGGTGACACGACGCGTCTCCTGCGGGACCAGGCCGCATCCTCGACGAGACGCAGCTCCGAGGAGGTCCTCGCTTCCGGTGGCTGCAGGAATCCTCTCGGCGGTCCTTACGAGAACGGGGTCGAGTGGCATCCACGGGTCCACTCGCACGGAGAAATGAAGTGCGTCAAGTGCAGGTGCAAGGTGAGAACTAGAGCTAGTACTTTTACCGAGGTTACACGAGACACACGTGCTGTGCTGCCAGGCTACCGGCTGAACCGTGACGTCACCGACGCTCGGATCACTTCGGTCTGGTTCGGCTTCTCGAGTCCACTCTCGCGCCTCTGGCGGTAGAGGCTTCGCCTGCGGGCACGCGGTTGCTCTGCCCAAGCGAAACGCAGTGCCACGACGCTGTCGCTGGTCGGCGCTAGCGGTTCGCGTCGCGTGGACCGAACGTCGATGACGTCACGGTTTAGCCGGCAGTCTGGCAGCACCGTGTCCATGAGACGCCTGGATAGAACTAAAACAGCGAAATATATCACGAGTAGACTGCGGATGTTGTGCATTTTTTTTATCGGAATGTCCAGGTCGGAAACAAAACTGTAAAGACGTTAGAAGAATTTGAGAATATTTTTATACTATCTACAAGATTTTGTATTTCGTCAAATGAATGCTGTGAATATAGCTGTTTAAAATTGTAACACGCGCCATGATATTCAGAGAATTTGTAGGAAGCTGCCGACTCTTTTACGACATTGCTATCACATTTTATAAGAAGGTATTTTTTCTATATCATGCGATGAATATTATAAATATAACTATGTTCCCTAGTGACGGTTACAATTTTTATTTTGCATATAAATTCGCAGTCCACTCGTACGTAAATCGCAGTTCCAGTGAGAACCACTGCGGCTCCAGCAACTTTTCTCTCTCACCTTTTCCCCCCTTCTTTTTTTTCCCTCGCCTTTTTTGTTTGCTACCCGACTCGATTACACCAGAAGTTTGGAATTCCCGATGGCCACCGTCGGAAAAGTAGCAATTTTCTCGTTCGAGCGAACAAATTGAAGTGACCGCGGATAAGATCGTATGCAGAAAGGTTGTTGTAATCGAAGCTGCAACGGTGTTGGGAAACTGAACCACTGCTGCTGGCAGGGTTCAGCATACATCCGGCAACGGGAGCCTCTGAGTTTTCGTACTTTTGTTACGGATCATTCTACAAGTAGAGCGATCTTCTTGTCATATTAAATTTGTCGCGTTCGCATAATTTTATCAAATATTTTTCCTAGATTTATTAGATATTTTTCCTAGGAAGTAGTTTTGTTTGTTCATTTGTTTATCTTTTTTATTTATCTCTCGCACAGATTCTATCCAAACGCATCGTGCACTGAGTTCTATTTGCAAATCAAAGATTTTCTACATATTTTTGGTAATGCATAGAGCTCGTAATTATTTAATTATATATTCAATTATTATATTCAATTATTATATTTAATTACATATTCAATTATTATATTTAACTATATATTCAATTATTATATTTAATTACATATTCAATTATTATATTTAACTATATATTCAATTATTATATTTAATTATTCAATTATTATATTCGAGGCATTGTCGTTCAGTAAAACAATTTTAACAATATTTCGAGAACAACGAAGTACAATTAAGTTTGAAAATTAAACGAAACCGTCAACATTTTCAAACTCTGTGGCAAAATTTCGCGGCCATTTTCTCACCTAGTGCCATCTAGTTTAGGAGAGCAAGACCAGAAAACATAAAAGTCGAAAAATAAGATCCCATCTTAAACCTCTCGGTCGATGGCATAAGCACGTAACCGGTCAACCAACTGAATACATACAGGGTGTCCCAAAAATGTCTCGCAAACCGGAAATGAGAAGTCCCTGGGATCGTTTGAAGTAACTTTTTCCTTGGCGAAAATGCAACCCGTGGCTTCGTTTACGAATTATTAACGAAACAACACTGACCAATGAGAGGCGAGTCTAGCGCCTAGCGCTCGGCGGCCGAGCCAATGAGCGCACGAAGCCCAGCTCCGCTCATTGGCTCGGCCGCCTTGCGGCCAGCATATCTCACACCTCTCATTGGTCACTCTTTTTCGTTGATAACTCGTAAACAAAGCCGTGGATTGCATTTTCGCCAAGGACAAACTTATCTTCAAATTACCTCGGGACATTTTTGGGACACCCTGTATACATACGAACATACGAATAAATCGAAGTCGATCTATGGGGTTCTTAATTAGTTGGAACAACTAATATCTGCGCCGTTAATGGAATACAAACGCGAAATTCGCGAGGGAACAGGTTCGCGATCGTAGATAAAAGTGCTTTATGATAACTGGTACAACTTTGTAAACAGGTGATTTAAAGTGTCGAGGTAATAAATAACAGTCGGGAGGGGCATTAACCGTATATTGTGCATGGCGGGGCAAATGTATACGATTTCCAGTGTTACAAGCGGCAAGTGTCGGCAATAAAGGCAGCGACTTGTAATTTTACACGTAATAGAAGCGGAAACAGAACAAGTTGCAGAGACGTACGACTTGGCACCTTCCATATGTGTCATCGTCTGATCAACTACTTCCGGCTGCGATTCTTGTTCAGCGGCAAATCATTCTTGCCGCAACTGGAAATCTAATTGGGTTACTTGATACACACACCGGCCGTACAGAAAACTTTACGATTACAAATGATAAAGTTGCACGATAATCTTCGTCGAATGTTGTTTAACCTCTTTGGCAGCTAATTGCGCGAATTTGTCGTCGTTACGTGGCACACGATCTACTTTGTCGTTGAAAATTCTCAGATTAATCTGCTGGCGAATAAATAGCGTTTTGCCGCGTTCGACACCGTGACGACCGGTGACGCACCGGTGGCGTCAATTTCTGCTTCGGTTAATTGAGACGCTCTAAAATTGCTATATTCGTTACTAATTGTATTAACTGCTTTTTTTGTTGTTGTTATATAAGTTATTTAGAGCTGTTACGTAAATGACTAAAAACTGTTGTGCTATGTTATTGCTATTATATAAATTAGTAGAAAGTACTGCGCTATGTTATTGCTATTATATAAATTAGTAAACGATACTGAACTATATCATTACATGTCTCTTATACACATCAGATGTGTATAAGAGACAGGCATTATACTATATTATTGCTATTATATAAATTAGTAAACGATACTGAACTATATCATTACATGTCTCTTATACACATCAGATGTGTATAAGAGACAGGCATTATACTATATTATTGCTATTATATAAATTACTAAATAACACTGCACTATACTATTGCTATTATATAAATGACTAAAAACTGCTATACTATATTATTACTATTATATAAATTACTAAAAACTGCTACACTATATTACTACCATTATATAAATTACTAAAAACTGCTTCGCTATATTATTACTAATATATATATAGATTACTAAAAACTACCGTGTAATTACTATTACATAAATTGCTAAAAATTATAAAAAGAAAATCCTAACATTTCGTTGTCAACAACATTGAGAAAATTCTGTTTCAAATCAAGTCGAATGGAACAATATCGATCGAGTCGAATTCTGTTAAATTCGTTTCCATTCTGTTCCGATTAATTGTTGCTCCAAAATTTCGATCTGCGCTGGAACGACGGCCAATTGAGACGCTCTAAAATTGCTATATTTGTTACTAATTGTATTAACTGCTTTTTTTGTTGTTATATAAATTATTGAGAGCTACTGTACTATGTTATTGCTGTTACGTAAATGACTAAAAATTGTTGTGCTATGTTATTGCTATTATATAAATCAGTGGAAAGTACTGCGCTATGTTATTGCTATTATATAAATTAGTAAACGATACTGAACTGTATCATTACTATTATATAAACTACCAAAAATTGATGCGCTGTATTATTGCTGTTATGTAAATTACTAAAAAGCATTATACTATATTATTGCTATTATATAAATTACTAAAAAATCATTATACTATATTATTGCTATTATATAAATTACTAAATAACACTGCACTATACTATTGCTATTATATAAATGACTAAAAACTGCTATACTATATTATTACTATTATATAAATTACTAAAAACTGCTACACTATATTACTACCATTATATAAATTACTAAAAACTGCTTCGCTATATTATTACTAATACATATATAGATTACAAAAAACTACCGTATCATTACTATTACATTACTAAAAATAGAAAAAATACTAATAGTAGAGAAAATACTGTTTCAAATCAAGTCGAATGGATAATCGAGTCGAATTCTGTTAAATTCGTTTCCATTCTGTTCCGATTAATTAATTGCTCCAAAATTTCGACCTGCGCTGGAACGATAACGTCGACAAAAAAAAAGAAAATAGAAATCGCAATGACGTGGCGGCCACCACCGGCCCAAGAATAAAAAAGGAAAAGCGTAGTTTAACGAGCGACTTAAGGGGACTAGAAGAAAGGCCGAGCGTTAATAATGGATTACCTCTGGCATTGCATAGACATAAAGTGGCCTTCATTGGACACGTACCGTCGGGGAACTAGTAGCGCGAGATCGTCACGGTACTTTACCCGGCGTGTGCGACAATTTCCGGTTTACACGATCGCTCTTAACCCCTCATCAGCCGCATTCCACTCGTGCCCGAAGCAACGCGACGACACGAACCAAGAGGACGCATCTTCTACTACCTACTCGAGCTTGTATACGGCACGCAGGCGAACCGAAATTTACGATCGTCGAGAAAAAAAAATAAAAAAGGAAGGAAAAAATAAAAAGAACGAACGTCCCTTGCGTCGAATATTCCCTGCTGACTCCGGGCATCGATGATCCTTCTTTCTTAATTGAACATTCCCGATTCGAGTACATTCGCTTTTCCTGTTTCTGGATATTTCATTGATTTTTGAGCAATTTTTTTTTTTCATTTAAATTACACCTATCTTCTCATAAATTTCTTCGAGTTAAAACAATTTGACAGCTTCGTTGAATTAACGTCCACGATATTTTAGTTATTTAACGAACATTTTAGTCGCGCGGACTTCGAACTTGTTGAATAATAAATATAATATGAAATAATAATATGAATAAATATAATAATATATAAATATGATAATAATAATACGAATTTGTTTTCTGACATAGGGATTCTTTTCTCTTAAATCTGCTTCGTTGGAAATCTGAAGACATTCTTGCATTTCATCGTTGATAAATGTAGTTAATAATCAAATCTCGTCATTTATTTCGATCAAACGTTGTTAACGATTTTCAATGGTGTGAAAATATTGCAGTTTTGTCATTTCACTTCGAACATTGTCTGGTCTTTTTATTCTACTTCGAACATTAGCCAGTGTTATGATTTTCCTTTGAGCATCGACTGGTTTTATCATTTTATTTCTTTTTTATAATTTTATTTTATTCTGAGCTAGTTTTGCGATTTCACTTTGAACATCAACTGGATCTGCAATTTTATATTATATTTATCTTATTTTTATTTTGTTATATTAAAGATTGCAACGAACGTAACAAACTCGACGTTTTAAGTCTTTTAATTTATTCAAAGCTCTCTTCTAAACGGACAGTTGCCACAATTTCCAATATCCTGAGCTAGTTCTGCGATTTCACTTTGAACATCAGCTGGATCTACAATTTTATATTATATTTCTATTTTATATTTATCTTATTTTTATTTTGTTATATTAAAGATTGCAACGAACGTAACGAACTCGACGTTTTACGTCTTTCAATTTATTCAAAGCTCTCTTCGAAACGGACAGTTGCCATAATTTCCAGTAACCTGAACTAGTTCTGCGATTTCACTTTGAACATCAGCTGTATCTACAATTTTATATTATATTTCTATTTTATATTTATCTTATTTTTATTTTATTATATTAAAGATTGCAACGAACGTAACGAATTCGACGTTTTAGATCTTTCAATTTATTCAAAGCTCCCTTCTAATCAGACAGTTGCCATAATTTCCAGTATTCTGAGCTAGTTATATTTCTATTTTATATTTATCTTATTTTTATTTTGTTATATTAAAGATTGCAACGAACGTAACGAACTCGACGTTTTACGTCTTTCAATTTATTCAAAGCTCTCTTCGAAACGGACAGTTGCCATAATTTCCAGTAACCTGAACTAGTTCTGCGATTTCACTTTGAACATCAGCTGTATCTACAATTTTATATTATATTTCTATTTTATATTTATCTTATTTTTATTTTATTATATTAAAGATTGCAACGAACGTAACGAATTCGACGTTTTAGATCTTTCAATTTATTCAAAGCTCCCTTCTAATCAGACAGTTGCCATAATTTCCAGTATTCTGAGCTAGTTATATTTCTATTTTATATTTATCTTATTTTTATTTTGTTATATTAAAGATTGCAACGAACGTAACGAACTCGACGTTTTACGTCTTTCAATTTATTCAAAGCTCTCTTCGAAACGGACAGTTGCCATAATTTCCAGTGACGCGTGATACGAGATCAAGGGACGACAAGGGACGACAAGGGACAAGTGATAACGAGCCACCGTCGAACGTATTTCTGTCCTTTTAAACAATGTTGGGCAAACCGGTTCGCGCAAATGTCGCACGGGAGTGTCGTTGCTTGGATACGTCGGTGGATACGGTTTTCTTGTGAATGGACGTATACAGGAAATTTCAGGGGCACCATCGATTCTCTTTTTTCCCTTCTTTTCGAGCCTGGTTCCCGTGTCCTTTTCCCGGCCCCGGGCACGACGACACTTGTCGAGAGTGTCGAGACGTGTTCTACATGCCTGGGAGCAGAGGTCGTTCAAGGTCACCGGGCACGTCAAGTCAACGAAGCCGTTGACTTCGCTCGCGAAAACGTTCGCGGTGGAACTATGCGTTCAGTCAAAATCACCGACTCGCGATTTCTTCTCACGAATGCCGGTCATTTCTCGACATTCGTTGAAAACAATGAATTTCAGGAAATGTTCGTCGACGTTCTAAACGAGTTATTTGTTATATGATACGTGATGCAATATAATTGTACGATATATTGTATAATATATGGTATACAATATGTCATACATTAATTTATACGATTTACAATGCAATATATTATACTATACGTAATACAAGATATTGTACAATATATTAAAATTTATAATACAATGTAATATACTATTCAATACATAATACAATACATAATACAATATATCATGTATTGTATAATATATAGTATACAATATGATATACATTAATTTATACAATATAATATATTGTAGAATGTATTATACAATACAATATACAATATAATATATTGTAGAATATATTATACAATACAATATACAATATAATATATTGTAGGATGTATTATACAATACAATATACGATATAATATAGTGTAGAATATATTATACAATACAATATACAATATAATATATTGTAGGATGTATTATACAATACAATATACGATATAATATAGTGTAGAATATATTATACAATACAATATACAATATAATATATTGTAGAATAATTATACAATACAAAACACAATTTATTATCTATTGTAATATATTGTACAGTATATTATATCATATTGTACATTGTACAAATTATTGTACAAAATCACGCGCACCTGAAACACGACACTTTTTCTCGGCGCAATGCTGGTGGCGCTCGACGGAATCGGTTGGCCGCGTTCCATTTTCTTCGTAATGGGTGGACCCTTTTAATGGTCGGTCCAGGCGAACGAGTCCGGTTAAAGGTTTTCTCCTTAAAGGTCTCCTTGTGTCGAACCGGCGCGGCGCGGCGCGGCACGGCGGCGTCGCAACGAGGCTGTAACACCCGACCGATTCTAACGAGTTCAACGAGCAATGTCGAGCCGCGCGGCCGTTCCTTTTCTTTTTCTTTTTTTTTTTCTTTTCGTCGAGGCCTTCGCATAATAATGGGAAACCGCGAAACGAAAACGCCCGGGGACTTTCTTGCCCTCCAAGAGACAGACCACCGCGTCTCGCCTTCGCCGCGGAGCAAAAGAAACGATTCGCGTCGAGACCGCAACGACTTAGTTAGTGCTGTTAGGATTTTTTTTCTCCTTCGCCGGCAGTTACCTTCGTTGGTCGCGCTATCAACACTTCTCTATTAGCGGGACTACGAGATGGCGGCGGACGTACATTTCGAGCTTGGCACATCCGCACTGCCGCCAAACTGCTGGTCTTTGCGTTAGGTCGAGTCATAAATAACCTCCGCTTTTTTTTTGTCATTTATTAGTGTTGTTCTTTTATTTCATTTATCTTGAACCATTATCTATTGACTACGACGTGTAATATACTAAATATACTATATAAGTAAAATATATATATACAAATAAATGTATATTGTATATTGTATTGTATAATATATTCTACAATATATTCTACAATATATTATATTGTACAATACAATATATTCTACAATATATTATATTATATATTCTATTGTATAATACATTCTACAATATATTATATTGTATATTTTATTGTATAATATATTCTACAAAATATTTTATTGTATATTGTACTGTATAATACATTCTACAATATATGTATTATATTATATATTGTATAAATTAATGTATACCATACAATACATATATATATATAATTAGCCCCCCTCGACGTAAATGCTCGAGGGTTAATTATCTCCCTAAGGGGGGCAAATCTCTCTAAATTTATTTAATCGATCTACCACTTGAAACGACGCCTACCAAATTTTGCCATAACCGCATCAAATCCACGATCCAAAAATAACCTAAATTGTCTATCTCCGCGAAAAATAAAAATCTTCGATCGCAAATCGCCTTAACCCTCTCCCGAATAAATTCGCGAAATCCTCCTACAATCCAATGACAAATCATTATCCCCGATCATTGCGATGTTTTAATGGCAACGTTGCCGTCCGGATTGTTGCAGAACGGCGAGGCGAAGTGAAGCATTTATTTAGCAATTACTTTCCTTTTCAATAAATTCAATAATTTGAAAATAACACGCGAATCTTCCCAAACTTATTTAATTGTTCTACCACTTGAAACGACGCCTACCAAATTTTGCCATAACCGCATCAAATCCACGATCCAAAAATAACCTAAATTATCTATCTCCGCGAAAAATAAAAATCTTCGATCTCCGGAGCCGTACAGTCAATCCTCTCCCGAACAAATTCGCGAAATCCTCCTACAATCGAATGACAAATCATTATCCGCAATTATTCCGATGTTTTAATGGCAACGTTGCCGTCCGGATTGTTGCAGAACGGCGAGGTGAAGTGCGACAGGAAACGGTGTCCGAGGGCGCTGTGCAACTCGATCGCGCACCAGATGAAACGCGGCGAGTACGTGGCGGACGCGGACGACTGTTGCACGGTGCAATGCCGTCGCGCGAGGCGTCATCACCGCAACAATCATCATCCGGCCCGGCACTCCGTGACGCCGCGAGAGCTCAGCTGAGTCCGGCCGGCCCAGCCAGGCAGCCACCTCCGAACTCTCCCGGTGCACGGAAACGCTCCTGGGACGTGTTTCGTAGTCGTCGGATCAGCGACCAGCTCGCCGTCGTAGTCGTCGTCGTCGTCGTCGTCGTCGTAGTCATCGAGGGTTTTTGATCGTCGGACTCCAGAGAACCGACTGACGGGGAGTTAGGCGGAACCGTCTCCGGGGCGGATGTGTGTCACACGTTCGAATGACGCAAACATGTCGAATCTCGGCAACGAATGTACATCGAATCGGAATAATCGGAAAGCTGCGGGACGGTGCTTTAATGGCCGGAGAGCCTCCAGTTCGTTCACAGTTAAAAGCATTCCAAAACGTTCTTGAAATTGATTAGCGTGGTAAACTCGTAAATTTCGACGAATCGAGGCGCGCGGTAGCGACGGCTTTCAGCTTCCAGTTGCTCGAGCGGGCTTCCACAAGACGATCAAAGGGGACTGATCGGAGGATAATGATCGCAGGGACGGCGGTCCGATTGTTCTCACGATTGCTCGACGGCTTTCCGAGGCCTGCGAGTAACGGCGTCCACAATTCTGTTTCGTCCGAAGACGAGGCGTGGCGCAGAGGACATCGTTCTAACACGTGTAACTCGATGAAAGATGATGTAGGCAGAATTGAATCGAGCCATTTGTGCCTCAAAGAGGTGCATAAACCTAAGAGAGGTACGTCGATCGACGTTACGCGGCCGTTCAATTCGAGCAACGAAATGTCCACGACGATCCCTGAAAACCTGTGCCGCTCTTCCAGTCGAAACGCGAGTCAAAAACGAGGTTAGACGTCGCGCCGGTTAGATCGTCTTGGATCGACGCCGGTTGGAACCTCCTGCGTCGACGTTTCGAACTCGAACCGACAGCTCGTGGGAACGGAAAATCACCGTGAACGTCGCGGACACCGCGACGCTTTCGCGGCGCGGCGTTGGCGCTCGCGGACGACGCGCGCCATCTTTGCCGAAACAGTTCGATCGGCCCGCGAGGCTTCGCCGAATTTCCCGACGATCGCCGACGACCCGCGAAGTCCGCCGACGGCGCGGAATGCTCTACCGCCAAGGGAAGCGGCAGCCGCCGCCGCCGACGACGACGAGCGATCCTAAGATCGTTCGGATAGCGGATGATGGTAATCGACGTAACAAAACTATTCGCCGCGGGATGCAGGAAGAGTATGCAGGATGTCGTAATGGCGATGATGATGATGATAATAATAATAATGATAATAGTTACGATGATAATAATAACGATAACAATAATAACACGAACTGGAGGTTAGGGGAGAGAGAGCGCGGCTCGTCGGACGCCATTCTTATTACCGTCAGTCGTTCTGGAGTCTGCGGCACCCACAAGCCAGCAGACATTCATTAATCAATTGGCTCTCATCAACGGATAAACGGACCGGAAGCCAACCACCGCTCTCTATTCTCGAGCGACCTGACACGGTACGATAACTGTTCGGGAAGCGAGAAAAATTTCACGGGGGGCAGAGGGGAAGGGGGGAGGAGGAGGAGGAACGAATGGTAATCCCGATGGGGGAGAGAGAGGGAGAGAGAGAGGCAGAGGGAGAAAGAGAGGCAGTGAGAGATGGAGAGAGGGTGAGAGAGAGGGAGAGGAACAGGAGCATAAATCGTACGCGGTAAATGCGAAGCCCTACCGTACCCACCAACCTCACCAAGTTACCCAGCAACCAAAGAAGACTGAAGAACCTCCGATGGTGGCATCAGTTATCATTGCGCTAACGTATATTATTAACTCCGAAAACTTCTTATTATTATTACGAGTAACTCTGTACTGTTTAACGTCATTAACATTAATTCGCGGCAGCGTCTCATCTTTTCATCGATCATTCGCTCATCGCCATCGACGTCATCGTTCCCATTGTCATCGTCGTTGTCTTATACACATATTATTATTATTAACATTATTCTAATTATTATTATTACTATTATCAATATTATTATTAATATTATTAATATCATTATTATAATTATTATTATTATTATTATTATTATTATTACTATTACTATTATCATTATTATTATTAATGTTATTATTAATGTTTCTATCACTATTCTAAATAGCATAAATTTTACCGGCTACTATGGATACAGTTTAAACGGAACCGTCGCGATTGTCGAATCGTTGATCTTCGCCAGCGGCGCGACGACACTGTTCTTCCCATCGCGGCACCGTTGCATCTAGATAAAAGTAACATTTTTTGTAATTTATAGGCGTATTTATTGGTAGGTCGTGTAAGTTATTCGATAGCGACCCGTTTCGGGGACGTTCCCCGGCACGGCGAACGACCGCGGCTGTCGAAGTTAGGGACAAAGGAATTTGCATTGATAGAACGTTTGGTAGTCGCTGTCATTGTGCGCGTGTATAAAAGATCTGTGTATATGTATCTCTGCTGCGTGCGTGTGCGTGTGATGCGTGGGACAGTTTTCTTTTCTTTTTTTTTAGTAGACTTGTAAGAGTCGTCGAGAACGAGATATAGGTAATAAGGTACCTTTTTTTAAGGCAACGAGNTGATGCGATGGAAGGGGATGCGGAGATGACGTAGCACGCAGTACCGCAGGTAGCAAAAACCCTGGACGGCGACCGAAGCGATGCGTACTAGCCCGTCATAAAAAATGCTGCCTATGAAGGCGTACCTTGTTTAAAGGGTGTAAATGGTTTCATTGCCGGAAGGAAAGTTATGGCATCTACGACCTTAGAAACCTAACGGACGCTACCTTTTGTCAATGGCACGTCGCTCGTTGACGGACGGGCAACTCGCCTCGTTGAGTCGGAGTTTTCCCTTCAATAAATGTTTTTTCTTTTTTTGGGGGGGGGGGGGGGGGGGGGGGGGGGGGGGGGGGGTATTTGTAAAAATTTTGTTGATCTTTCTGGGCATCGTTTCTCGCAGTTTCGAACAGTTTCGCCAGGCTTGACAGTTTCTGCTCGGTCAAATCGATGATAGAACGCGGACGAAGAGGGTCTTCGATGGTACAGTTATTCTTCCGTAACGTCGCGCGTCAGCTGCGCAGCGCGAAATAGAAGCCGACGCTTACAAAAAGCGGACGCTACGGAGGGAAATCTGTACTTTGAAGTTTCGTTCTTCGCCGTATCGAGTTTGCGTGTATGCGTATTGCGTGTATGGGTAACGCCAGTTTTTTTTTCGTTAAACTGACGCGTGTAGTCTTGGGGCGAATACAGTATTGGTCGGTCAAAGTCGCTCGATTGTTACCGTGTTATTTATTACGTTAAAAAAGGATAACACACGAGACAGGATCACAGATGAAATTGTTCCCGTCGCGCGAGCCAGACCTTGCGACCACCAATGCGATCGGCCTCAATCGTTCCCGGCTTGCACCGAGATAAGTGTATCACGGCTGTCTGTGCATTTCTTTATTATCTAGTCTAAGGCTCTGAGGCGTCTTTTCGGGCAAGTTTGGAGGAATGACCGGTGATCCGATCGGTATTGAAAGGCGATACGGAAACGGGGGTAGCGGTTTACGCGTAGCCATGACAGCTGGCAAGCCTGGCAAGACTTTCGGATACATTTCGATACGGTTCTTCCAACGGAGCAAACAATTATTCTTAATCCAACAGATACATATCCTGAATGTTCGCATAAATTTGTATGCAAAAGCTTGTTATTGTGCAAGGCGTTTCTGAACTTAATTATACTATATATATATTGCTATAATTTATTATAGCAAGATATAGCTATAGCTTGCTGTGCAAGGTGTTTCTGAACTTAATTATACTATATATATTGCTATAATTTTATCACAGCAAGCTATAGCTATAGTTATATAGCTAGAGCTCGCTGTGCAAGGTGTTTCTGGACTTAATTATACTATATATATATATATTGCTATAATTTATTATAGCAAGCTATAGCTATAGCTTGCTGTGCAAGGTGTTTCTGAACTTAATTATACTATATATATATATATATATATATTGCTATAATTTATTATAGCAAGCTATAGCTATGTAACTATATAAGCTATAACTATATAGCTGTATAACTATAACTATAGCTTGCTGTGCAAGATGTTTCCGAACTTAATTATGCTATATATATTGCTATAATTCATGATAGCAAGCTATAGCTATGTAACTATATAAGCTATAACTATATAGCTATATAACTATAGCTTGCTGTGCAAGGTGTTTCCGAACTTAATTATACAATATATATATTGCTATAATTTATTATAGCAAGCTATAGCTATATAACTATAGCTATATTTATTATAGCATAGCTATATAACTTGTTACACTATATATTGCTATAATTATATAATAATGAACCGATACTTTCTCAGAAACTCTTTGCACGTACATTTCAGATAGAAATATTTGGTATTGTCATAAGGCGCTACAAGAAAAGTTATTTATTGTATTTTCTATTGGTACATCGCGCGACAGTCGACCGCTGTGAGAATCGTTTTTACTGTATAAAGCGACCTCGAGAATACTGAAGGGGCACAGTTGGTGTTTACTTCGTGTCACGAACATATCTGAACCGGGATATGTTGATCTGCCGTTTAAACCATTAGTGCCTTAAAAGAAACAAAAAAAAAAAAACAGGAACAACAACAAACGTGTGCATACACTTAGTCAACGCTGTTAGTGCTAGTTAACCGCGCGTAGAGATCTTAATGAGAGCTTGTTGTCGACATTTTGTACAGAGGCGCGATACAACAATTACGTAACCAGGATCACGAGTTATCGTTAATGGATTATCAATACTTGCGATTTTAATATTATTGTAATAGTATTTATATATATATACTTATAGCGGGCACGTCCTACTCGTTGCTCCGGCTTATCATTAACGTTAATCTTATTTTATTTTATAATATTAATTACAATGGAAATATTATATTCGCGGCCATTTAACAGTTAGCCAGTGGGACATGGAGTGAACAATATCTAGATTCTTTCAATCGTTCTTGGACAAGTGACGAACGAAAGGATAAATACATTTCTAAGCAGATCAGCTGTGTCGAATGAAACAGTAGATAGTATAACAGTGAGATCTAGGTGCGTTGTATAGTACAATTAGCTCGCGGACAGAAGAAGAAGAAGAAGAGGTATCGCAATCTTTTAGCTACGGCGTACGACATTTTAACATTTTTATATATTTTTATATAAAACATTTCAAAAAAAAATACGTTGCCATGGTATATGTTACAAATAATGATGTAATGGCCTTCGATGGTTGGTGTGTACGGTAGCTGAAAGGTCGATCGGTGGTTGTCGTCGACTATTTTTGTATGACAAATTTTTATAAGCCACCGCCCTGCTGGTTAAATGTTAAAAATAATCCACGTAAATATACGTATGTTATATCATTCTCAGTGGGGAACCGTTAATCTCGCCGTCGAGACAGAGATAACTTATATCGTCCTGAAATGCATTACGCTCGCGTTCTTGTTTCTTTTCTTATTTTTTACTAACTCGCTTAAACGTCGTTGCGTTGGTCGAAACGAGCGTCGCAAAACGGCGCAAGTATTGAGATATAACGATCGCCGTGTGTGTGACACGTTTGTCCGTGTATCGTCGGACAGGGGACCGGAAGTTGTTCAGAAATACGCGAAATACATAAATGGCGGCCACTTCCGCAACAACGTTACCGTACTGATCGATCATCACCTTGTGTTAATGGTACTTTGTCCGGGTAAAAAAAAAAAAGGAGAAACGTGTTCGAATCGTAGACGAGCAGAATTTCAATCGAACGAATGGGGAGGGGTGTGACAACGATCGTAAGCATCGCTATTTTTATCTTTCGTTCGACCCTCGAAACTCGTTACTTTCAAGAGGACCGTTGTGCCCGTCTACGATCCGAACAAACACGTATACATATACATATACATGCAGGGTGTCCCAAAAATGTCTCGCAGTCCGAGAGTGGCGGGTTCCTCGGGTCATTTGAAGCAACTTTTTCCTTTACAAAAATGTTCTCCGAGACACCGTTCACGAGTTATTAACGAAAAACGCTGACCAATAAGAATCGAGTACGGCTGGCGCGAGGCGGCCCAGCCAACCGGCGCGCGATGCCCAGTTCCGATCATTGGCTCGGTCGCCTCGCGCCAGCTGAGCTCGCTTCTCATTGGTCAGCGTTTTTCGTTAATAACTCGTTAACGGTGCGTCGGAGAAAATTTTTGTAAAGGAAGAAGTTGCTTCAAATGATCTGAGGAATCATTTTCGGGACACCCTGTATATTGTCGTGAGAACGACCGTTCGACATCAATTGTAAATGTGTATAAATGAAACAATAATAGCGAAAAAAGAAACGATAGTGCCTTAAGAAATTCGAATTTAACGATCGAAGCGACGTCCCCCACGAAAAATGACGGATGTCGACGAGACAGTATTCAACTTGCCACGATTTATTTATCCTGCATTTGTACAGGGTGTTTCAAGGCAGCGTTTTTCTAATGGAACCGAGATAGATGTTTGTTACGCGTAGATTTGTAATGTGAACGGAGCTTCATACACTTACAAGGACCTCGTCGGAGGTCTTTGCTTTTATTTTACCGATTGTATTTTGCTATTCAATTTCGAGATACCCTGTACTTGCGAGTGTGAAGCATTGTTAAAGGAGACCAAAAATTGTGTTTTCCTCGATTAGTGGCAGCCTACGTTATACATATATTACATTATATATTTTACACGCCACGCGAGACACGTCGTGAATTTTTGTAGGTTCGAAGGGAACGGATTTTTATAGTGATCCAGACTTGTTCCGTGCTAAAAAACGATTCTCGATTGAATCATGGTGAATCGTTAATTCGCTGGTACCGGCGTTACTTCAATCGGCTTGTTGTAACTGCATTACACGTACAGTGGAATACGTATGTGTCTTGTTCAATAAATGTCGAGTCGAGGAAGCAAGAGGGAGAGAGAGAAAGAGTGAGAGAGAGAGAGAATGACAGAGAAAGAGAGAAAATGAAAGAATCGTGAGAATGAGAACAGAAGAGAGAAAGTAAGAAATTGTTGATATTGGTAATTAATGTAATAAAATCGTATAAATGAACGTAAACAGATAATTATATTAGAAATAATTGTATGCCGATTTCAGTATTTCCATTAATAAACAGATATACATGACTTGGCCTCTTTGTGTTTCATAAGTGTCCGCGGACATGCCATAGTCAGTTGAATAAAATCGGAAACGTCGTCTCACGGTTGACAAAAAAGCTAGAGATATTCTCTTATGATCGCTGAAAATTAATTAGAGCATAATCATTACAGTTGATAACATCAGTCGATACATTCTACTATATAAAAATTAAAATGCATGTCTTTATATAAAATTTCATATTTACAGAATCATTGAAAACCAAGACTAAAAACATAAACTTCTTTCCTCTCGTAAAAAAAAAATTGTCTTACGCCGATTGTGAGAATAAGACTCGCGACAAGCATATTGGAAGTTTTATTTCACTGTACGGTAATGCAGTTGCACGATGAACGCCTACTGCATTGCAACCTGCATCGCATTGGAGAATGCAGATCAAGTGTTAAGCATACGTATAAGGTGTAACAAGAGAAATTCATGAAGCAGCATCAGTATTTTTCGAAATTTTATAATCGTAGCTATTCCTTTGTATACCGACGAATTAGTCGATTATGTTTATTATTATAAATAACAAATTGAATGATATGAAAAATCTACGAAAAAGTTTCTGTTATAACCTTACGAATAAAAATCGATAATACAAGAGTTGAAGTTCTTCAATTTTTTAATACATACAGTCCGTTGTGGACAGGTATAATTTTATTCACAGTAGTAACAACAATCGTTTCACGTTGTACATCGCTGATATTAACTTAATTTTACAACGAAGAACGCGTTTGGGCGTTTCTCAACCCTGCATCAAGTGCACGCAACACTAAGTCTACTATTTCAAATGTGGCATTGATTCCCAACAAACCGATCCTCAAAACTTTCCCCGCAGTTGATCCCAATCCTGGGGCAATTTCGACTCGATATCTAGAACAAGAATTGTACCAAACATTTCCAATTAAAACAAATGCGCAGACCTGATTAAATTGTATTAGTGCTGATTCTCTGTTTTCAAAATATATTTTTGGAGCGTGTTAATATTTTTAATCGTTTAAATATTATACATTACATTGTTGTGTACTTTGCCAAACTAAAAGTTACAATTTTGAACTTTATTAACTACTAATGCAATAATTTTACGAGTCAACTCTATAAATTTCGCTCCGTGATGAACGTGAACGGGTATATATATATATATATAGAACGTCAAGTACCCATTACACTGGGGTAACTGATGAAAAAAAGATGGTAAAATGAGAGCCTCTTCTCGGTGCTATCGACCAGAAAACCTAATTTGAGAAAGTGACCTACCCGTTCATGGCTCGTTGTATAATGGTCTCTTCGTCGACGCCAGGTGGCAGCTCTATAGTGATTACTGTGGATAATTGATACCGTGGATTTTTTACATAAGATTGGAGGCCCCGTAACTCAAGACCCTGCCTCAATCTGCGAGCCGCAGCTGAGTGTCTGGACCAGCGCTCGACCAGACCCTCTTCAGCGATTTCTGCCAAGGCCTCACGCAAACCGTACAGAAGCGTGGAGCTTATCGTGTGATGATACACCTTGCGCGGGTTGTCAAAACATCTCCAGTAAGCACCGAGGTGTTTCATGTCGAAATAAAAAGAAGTTGGTGGCGTCCTTCTTCGAAACAATTTCTCCCTGTCGCAAAAAAAAGGGAACAAGATCAAATAATCACGGATCTCAATTATCAGCAGTCTCAATTATTTTCTGAAGATCTTCCAAAAGTAAAATACAAAAGCCTTCAAAAAATAAAATGAAAGATATTTGACTTCCCAAAGAGAAACGTTTTGTTTTTATAATTCAAGTAACGGAAATATCTTTTTCTTGCCACGTTAGGTGATTCACCCTGCATAATTAACATCTTATTATTTATATATAGATTATAATGCTTATTATATAGTATATATATCTCTGATATATATATCTCTGAAGATTATAGTTCTCTCGATAAAGATTCAAACATGTCTCATAGACGTACCAATCTTCGCTAATAATAGCAATCGAGCATCGACTTACAATTAGCAGAGATCAGGACGGAATTATGGGTAAGGCCAATAGATAAAGTTACAGGAAATATTTGCCGCTTTATAACGAGTAGGTGCAGCGACGTGAATGGCAGTAATAGCGGAAAACAAGTAATAATACGTAGCCGATGATAGTGCGAGCACTAAAAAAAAACCCGGTCTAGAGCAACTATGCGATACGAACGTAAACCACCCAAACCGGTCACCGTAATGTTGCCATCAGCCTAACAAGCTTCGGTATTGACAAATTGATGTCAGTGGGTATTCCACCATGGAAGTGGACACTTTAATAGGCAGTCTATCGACTGGCACGAGACATTCGCTGTACGACCGAGTCAGAAGACGGTTTGAGTGTCATCGAATAAGAATTCACCGGCCATCCGCGTTGTGATTCACGGAGCAACGGATGGGTAGCGAGGACCTCACGGGATGACCTCACGGGATGACCTCACGGATTCAATTGATATTCCGTGTAGATAACTATACGAGTCCTGATTCTCAGGCTGTCTCCGTTGCGGCTAAAACGATGGAAAAGAAACCCGATTACGTACTCTGCCCGTGGACTGAACGAAATGGGGGCGAGTCCTGGGGGGGCACCGAGGGCCTTCTGACTGGCGGCGAATGCTACATCCACGCCCCAAAGATCCATAAAGAACGGCTCACCACCTAATGATGCAACCGCGTCGACCATCAGGAGGGCATTGTATCTGAAACATAATCTCTATGTAGTCAATTTCGCGCGTTTTTAATTCTAATTCTCGGTAAATACGCTACGCTATTACCAACACTATTCTGCATTTTTTTCATATTTTCACTTGTACATATCTTTCAGGGACATACTGTATATTAACTATAATTATTTATATAATAAAAAGAGCAGAACATATATTACTTTCTCCACTTCTCCGAGGAAAATTATAATTCCATAATTGGAGAACGTTTCTATTCTACGTTTCAAATAATTTTCTGTAAATTGTACCTGTGGACAAGCTCTCCAAAACCTTCTAATGGCTGTTTCAAACCAACGGATGAATCAGCCTGAACCGTGTAAACTGCCGTTGGTTCGTGCTCCCTCAAGGCATTTTCTAATTCTTCCAATGTAGCTGACTTATCATGTCCTGTTTCTAGGAAGACAACCTGCATTCCGCAAACGAACGCCAAATTATGCATACGTATGAATGAAAATCAAGAGATTTATGGAGAAGTAAGCCGCGTACCTGCGCGCCAATCCGAGTGGCCTTGTCAGCGGCACGGACAGCCCAAATACCAGATTTCACAATGAGTATCTTATCGCCGGGTTCAAGTATATTATCCAAGCAAGCTTCTATACCGCTATGACCCGCTCCACTGACCACCAAAGTGAGTCTGTTCCTAGTTTGAAACGCGTACTGCAAACCTGCCTTAATCTCGTCCATTATCTGAAAAAGCAGTAATCACGAATCCTCTTCTGTTAACGCAAATTTGTACAGAATTCACATTTAATCTTCTATTTCATCATTTAAATATTTTCGAAATGACAATTATTAAGAACAGAAATAAATTTTCTGTTTAACTTTTGCCTGTTGCAGTCGACGCAGAAATACATTTACTTTCTAAATAATAATGTTACACTACTCTCAAATCTTTTACTAAGAAAATGGTCTGATTTTTCATGAAATAAACGATACAAAGTAAATTAAAAAAAAGTGGAACATAGAGCTATAGAATTAGAAAATGACAATGAATAATAAAATAAAGAAGAATGGATTCCATTCGTGACGTTAATAAACGGCTGATAATTTTCCGTTGCCACCTGTTGAGAAGAAACAATGAATAACGACAGCGCGCAAAATTCGCAGTTTCGATGGTGCATGATAAACGAGCCTCGATTCCCGCGTAAAAGACCCAAACTCGTAGTTAAGGTAAAATACCGCTCTCGCGTACTTGTACAATAAGGAGAGTGCGCTACACGGGACGGTTATAGTAAGCGCGCCTAAATCTTGCCTCGCCGGGGCAAGGCCTTACATTGTCGGTAATGATAATAATCAGGCGACTTTTAACTTGAAATGTGACTTTACGATCGCGATTTAAGCGAACCGATTACCTGCAAAATTTCGGGATGGAGATGGCCGAGGACTTGATTCCGAAGAGACTGAAGAACTCGCTCCGAGCAATTAGTCGGACCAGGACTCGTTAACGTTTTTACCGGTAACCGGAGTTTAGTGAGGAGTTCCCTCGGTGGTTCATGGTGCACGGCGAACTGGTTCCACTCGCGATACATCGCACGCTTTTTTCTTCGCCAGGTAACACAAGGAAAACGATCTGAAAGTTGAACAATGTTTTAACACGGAAATGTACATTGGCTTGGTCTATGAATAAGTCCATAAGTCCTGTCAATTATGTTTTCACACTATAGCGGCTGCTTCCTATACGCTTGCCGGCAGACGGCTACTGGGCTCGAAGCCTTTCCCGCAACCGCTTGTTCCATCAACGATTCCCATATGTGAGGATCAAGGCCAAATATCAGCGTTTAACAAGGGCATTGTTTACTACCTAACTTTATAGTTAAGTTAATTACTAGCGAAGTTGTAAGTGTATTTCACTTGTCTTCTTAAAACAATTTGGCACACGTAGATTACATTAAAACACGTAAGTTGACATTTTCGAATATTACACTTACACTGTTATGACTTTAACACTCTCACATATACGAATTGTTTTAAAAAGCTGTACATGATAGAAATTAGTAAGAAAATTTTCGATTCTTTGAGTCGCAGCTTTAAAGATCGTTGTGATGCGCTGGTTAAATTTAATCAATAATATAATTCTTACGAGAAGAAACTAATGTAATTCTTGAATACGTCGTATTATGTAATACAAATTTCCTATTATTGGTTCGAGAAATATAATTCGTTGTTACTTACTATATGACTGAAATTGAAATTTAACTCTGCTATGCGCGCCGAGAAAGTATACAGTACACTGAAACCGGGACTATTCCAACGTTCAGATAATTTCATTTAAAGTCACGACCCCCAGGATGCATATCTCCTATTTACTTACGTTATCATAGATATATGTACATATACGTACGACAAACAATTATGTGTGAGTAGTAGCTTGTTCGCAAAATCTCGTTCGAATCGTTTCGTGCAAGGAAAGATCTTAAATTTGCTTAATCATCGGCAACAAGATACAGAAAGATGACAAAAAAAAGAACTTGAGAGCGTTATCAGTATAGAAATTAAGTAACACTATGCCGTCCGGTGGTACCACGCTGGTGCCATGCAAAAACTATTTGTTGTATGCCGGTGGTACCACTTTGGTGGCATTTTAAAAAATTGAAATGACATTTGAACTATATTTCTTGGATGTTAAGAAGCAGCAAACTAACTGTAGCATTGTGCTTATTTGACTAAGAATTAAGTACGAAAATTCTTGGATAACATATCTTAATTTTAGGAATTTATATTACCGTCATCTTCGCAATTTTTTTTTAAATCTAAAATTTCCAAGCTATTATGCCGGCGTCATATCTAAGATCTGCGGACGACATAGTGTTAATAACGGCTGAATACGTTGCTATCTGTTAATTAAACAGAAAAATATTTGTAAATACGCTGTGTCATCTACAAACACGCTATACATACGTCAGTTTCCTCTGGGACTTGGCGTGCCTCGAAATGCACCCTGCTTTTTGTCCCACAATTACCGACACGCTGCAATAAAAACTGCATCGTGCCTCGACAAACGCACCCTTGTAATTTCAATATATGAAGTCAAGTCCGAGTCGCTTGCCCCGAAATATTCCACGAGTTTCATTGGGACTCGTTAATTGATTTGTTCATTTTCTCTCTCTCTCTCTCTCTGCATTGTAAGTTCGACGGTCATTAATCATCCGTATTCAAAAGAAGGCTGCGCTCGAGAGCGTCGAGCGGCGGGGGCGGTTTAATGGAAGAAACGAATACTTGCTACGAGTGCTTTCAGTCGTTAGACGTGGGTCCCTTCTCATCGTTAACTACGACTCGCCGGTTATCAGTTTCCACGCTATCTTCCGTTTCAAGTTACGTTTATCAGGGCTGCTGCCGCGGTCGTCTGTCAGTCGTGCGCATCGAAGCATCCTTCTCGCACGTGTTCGGGAACACGTGACCAGAGCAGTCAGCAAACGAATTACATCCTGACAGCAAACTCGCGACCAAAGTGCTGCCATAAGCCCCGCCGGTATCGAAGCATGTCCTCCTATTCCGGCAGCGTCTCCGCTTACCGCCGTTTCCACCGACCGTTGCCAGCTGAAAAATTCACAATTTCCAGAGTAGTCGCAAACAACCCAGAGTCGTCTTAACACGTTCGTCGCCGCGTCACCCAGACCTGGGTGACACGGGTATGTTTCCGTGGGGGCCGCGTCACCCAAATACGGGTGCGGCTCTTCTTATTCAATTTATAAGACTTTCAGTTGGATTTTAAAAGGAATAAAATGGAATGAGCACTGAAATATACACATAGGATATACAACTTAAAAATACTAAAAATATTATACTATATAGGGTGTTCCACAATTATTTTAACAGCCGAAAATGAGGGGTAGCTGAGGTCATTTGAAGTAACTTTTTCCTTTGCGAAAATGTAATCTGCGGCTTTGTTTACGACACTGTATACATATTATACTATACTTTTTACTAATTTATATTTAGTATAACACATTACATTATACTACGTCGTATGGTGCGCGTTGAAACATCCTAAAGACATTTGAGGTGATTTTGGGCAATTCAAACAATAGGTCGTAGTTTTTTCTACATTCTTTTTCGTATCTTTTATTAATTTATTTAAAATTATTTATTTGAAAAATGTATCGCCCTGTTCATGTTTCGGTGCTCCATCAGTCGGATTTGGGCCCCGCGAGAAACTCAACCGAATTGCGCTGGTCGACGAACGTGTTAAGAATAAATTGTTAATATAAATAAATATATATATAAAATAAATAATAATATAAAAAAATAAAATATAAATAAAATATAAATAATAAAATATATAAAATAAATATATATATAAATAATATATTTAACTTAATCATGAATCAATCACTGATCAAAATCCATCGTGAATAAAATGTTGCCAATCGACTGATCGCAACTAGTATTCTATCGAAAGTATAGCATCGAAAGGAAAAGCTAAGAGGAGATATACTTACAATTGAAAATAAACTACCGATGTTTATGCAAATCGGCGTCGATGAAAGCAAAATGATGAGAGCCGGGCTAATCCGGGATCTAATCGCGGCGATCATAATCGTTGCTCGGTCTGTGAAGAAAATAAAATTATATTAATTATATTATACGTACGGAAACCGGTAGGTTTAAATAGGCACACGCTTCACCGCGGAAAAAGTGTACGTAGCTCGTGTTTCTAGCAAGAACAAATTCCTTAACGTGTATACAACGCATCTAGAAGCTCATAACGGAGCACTCCCGGCATTCCTTTCGCTGCAATAAAAATAAGAGTACGTGTGGATAGGCGTTACTATTAACTCTGTGTACAGGAATTTGAAACGTTTCCCTCCCTTCCCCTCCTCCTTACCCGTTTCGCAGTGTTCATCCGAGCCCGCGATACAATTTCCCATGCACAGTTCTTCTGGCTTATTTCTTTCACGACGTAATTACTCCCGCTATGACGTAACCAATAGCGATTTAAAATTACTCACTTTTTACGCAATGCGTCGGCAAGTATGAAGATATGTGCCAACCGATTTTCTTATGGGCACGAACAATCGCACGGTGAAGGGAGGACAATTGTGGATAAAATAGAGAATAATTTTGTACCGAATTGACAATTCGGACCTGTATTATTGTATTAACACTACGCCATCCGCAGATCTTAGATACGATTCTTTTGTTTGACGCCGGCATGATAGTTTGGAAATGTTAGATTTAAAAAAAAATTTCGAAGATAGCGGTAATATAAATTCCTAAAATTAAGATATGTCATCCAAGAATTTTCGTGCTTGATTCTTAGTTAAATAAGCACGATACTACAGTTAGTTCGCTGCCTTTTAACACCCAAGAAATACAGTTCGAATGTTATTTCAGTTTTTAAAAATGGCGCCAGCGTGATGCCATCGGACGGCATAGCGTTAATAATATAATTCTACAATGATCATGGTGAAAAAGTTCTCGCGACATAGCGAACGGTTTTCGCGTCGGTCAAGGAATTCGTTGGCAAAAAATTTCCACGTCGAAATCCCGAAAGAATTTATTTTCTGCTGGCACTAATTTTTCGAGCGACAAAACGAAAACATTCGCAAACGACAGGGTAAAAAAAGCCGGTGATTTTCTGTCGGCTAAGCGAACCGACGAAAATGCAGATCCAACGAGGGTCAAGTTCGGCTGCTCGACATCGGCTTCCCCTTCCACCACCTCCTTCCACCTAGCTCCCAGGTCTCGCCTCCCTCCCCCCTCCTCTTACCGTCCACTCGGCCTCTTCAGAGTTCCCTTTGAGCACGATCTTTCTTTCTCTCCGGAACCATCTCGTATTCTCTTTCTCAGTCGCGCCACTTTCAGGCCACTCGTCGTGGGTCACCAGCGGCGAGGCCGGCTAATAGTAAATAGCATCCCGAACGACGACGAAATTGCCCGAAATGACTGGCAAGGTCGGAGACGGAGAAATGATCGAGCGACAAGAAACCAGGTTACATACAATACAATCAATTTCCACCGGAGAAGTTTTTCGTTCGTGAACGCTCTCGGTGGTTACTCGGCGGCGATTGTGAGCGCGCGAGCGCACCCGCCTACCATAAGGGCCGCCGTATAAGTATGCATGTATGTATGTATATGTGGACGATCGTCCTGCTTGCACAGTCGCGTGTTCTCACGCAACACGGAATATGCGTGTATGTATGTTGAAATCGGCCGTTCGGTGCGCGGCGGCACACTGTCAATTAATTCGGACGACTGTAATTACCGCAAGGAACTTGATTTTTCCCGTTCGATCTTCAATCTGTTTCCCAGCTAATCGTGACGTAACCTGTTAACCCTGAACGACGAGCGCATTCGTCATTTCTGTTCACCGTTACTTTTCTTCATCGTCCGTTAATTGTGCATTAGGTCTACCGTTTTAACTATCCTCTAGTCACTAGGTTTTCTGAAACATCTTTCACAGGCCTGCGAACTCTGCGATACAGCATTTCCGTTTGTTTTCGAGTCGATTCTTCTTTGCACGTTTATTCTGCTCTCCTGTCTCTCTCTCTCTCTCTCTCTCTCTCTCTCTCTCTCTCTCTCTCTCTTTCTTCTCTGCTCTCTCTTTATCTTCTCTCCCTCTTCTCTGCTCTACTCTCTCTCTCTCTCTCTCTCTCTCTCTCTCTTTTCTCTGCTCTCTCTTTCTCTTCTCTGCTCTGCTCTCTCTCTATCTCTCTTTCTCTTCTCTGCTCTCTCTTTCTCTTCTCTGCTCTGCTCTCTCTTCTCTCTCTTTGACTTCTCTGCTCTGCTCTGGTCTCTCTCTCTCTCTTCTCTGCCCTCTCTTTCTGTTCTTTGCTCTGCTCTGCTCTCTCTTTCTCTTCTCTACTCTGCTCTCTCTGCTCTATCTTCTCTCCCCCTTCTCTGCTCTCTCTTTCTCTTCTCTGCTCTCTGTTCTCTCTCCCTCTTTTCTCTTCTCTGCTCTCTCTCTCTCTCTCTCCCTCTCTCTCAAGTATTAATTATTCCTTCAACCACCATCAGTTTTCTTTTCCGTACAATAATAACAGCTGCTACAGCAATAGTCGAGGACTACGGATCGGCGATGCGCCTTTATATATCGGGGAAGAAAATGTATATAAGTGGGCTGGAACGCGTCTCGCATTGCACAACTTAAGACGGTACACGTAAAATGTTCTGTAAGGCGAAGCGTGTGTGGCGGCCCTAAGTTAGCCTGTGTGCTCATGATGGGTTCGGGTCCGGTGGTAACCGGACTACGACATTCATACACGAACGAAAGATCGTGCGTGACTGGTCGGTCGGTCGGTCGGTTTATAGCGGAGTGTGCGCTGCTCTCGGACGCGTATGCATGTGCGCGCCGCGTGCGTGCGCGTGGCTCCCTAACCTGCTCGTACGTGTAAAGAGTAACGGTGTGGTGGTCGGGCGTGCACGTGCGCTACCGTGTCTCTATAAACGTATGTATAGAGGGTGAATTATCTAATCCGGAACTTAAATCATCTCCACCGGTTTTTAACCACATGAGAACATCTAGGATTCCATTGTTTTTTTTTCTACAACAAAAGACCATTCCCGGAGGAAAAAGATTTTTATTGTGATCGCGCGATTACGATGACGAAAATTCTCTTTCCAAGGTCGCATAGCTTGTTGCATACCATGTTCGTCGATGGTTTCTTGGCGCAACGTCAACTCTGATGGAAAAGCAAACGCGAAATTGTAACCAATTAACCCTTTGCACTCGAAGATATTTCACACACACAACTGAAAATATAAAATCATTTTTCTGATAACATCATTTTATGCATATATGAAAATTGACTCTTGGGACTCGCCCAATCGTTACATTCTTAACCATATTTTTTAAATCTAAACTTTGTTAATATATAAGTTATCTTAAAGCGTGATATAACAAATATTAGTGGTGCCTCAGAGTCGCCATTCGAGTGCAAAGGGTTAACGACATATGTAAAATTCTTGTGTAACGTTTCGTCGGAAACGGCCTCCATTTTTGTCATACTTTTTTAGTCAAAAACCAACTATTTTTTACGCTCGTTAACGTCACGAAAATACGTGAACAGGAATTGTTTTTATTTTTAATCCTTTGCACTCGAATGGCGACTCTGAGGCACCACTAAAATTTGTTGTATCACGCTTTAAGATAACTTTCATATTAACAAAGTTCAGATTTAAAAAAATTATTTGTCGCGTCCCAAGTGTCAATTTTATGTGCATAAAATGCATTTTGCCATATAAAATGGAAATACTATAAGTTAGAAAAATTATTTTATATTTTACAGTTAAAATAGCTTCGAGTGCAAAGGGTTAATTGAAAGCTCGCGCTACAGAAACTGGGTCATCTCGAAACAAACAAAAATCTCCGATTAGAAAAATCGTGAGAAACGTAACTATACGAACGAAACTCTCAGCTTTGGAATTATGTTCCTCCTGAAACCCATATACTTTGTTACTAGAGAGAATTGTTACGAGTCATTCAAAGTAACGGAGGATATTTTCGGTTCCAGTCTTACTTAGATAATTCATCCCGTATACGTACGTGTGCGTGGCTTTGTGTGCGCCACGCTCCCGAGCCAGGAGACAACGAAACAATGGAACGTCGTCTCGGTGGCGAATAGCGAGGCGAGCGGGCGGATTGTACTTGCTTGGCTTGCTCATTCGTCTGGTCCCGTATACAGGGTGTTCGACTACATGCATGGGACGTCTCGGTGGTCGATCCTACAATCCGAAACAAGGCGAAAACGAAGAGCGGGGGAACCGTGGTTTCGGCTTCATTTTCAAGTTATTAACAACCAAAGGCCCGCCAATAGCGACGCGACAGTTGATTCTCTGTCTTCGTCTCTCGTACACCACGTTGCTGTTCACACGTCTTCCGATCTAACCTGCGCACGTCACTATTGGGCGAACCACAGGGGTTTCGAATCGTTGATAACACGAAAACGCAGCCGTCGCATCAACTTTGCTGCTCTTGATTCGTCTTGAAAACGTTGATTACGCTTACGATGATACTGTAAGCTTCCTGTGTAGACAGTGTTATTATTTATATCATGAGAAATTATTCCTAGGTAAATTGTAATTCATAGCTGTAAGAATTGTAATACGAAAATTAATAAAAATAGAAATATCTGTTTTCTGTAAAAACTGAATGCAAATATGTGCTTATTTTGATTGTACATTAAGAGTGACGCTGTTTCTTTAATTGTATCTTGTTTCAAGTATTTCCAATTTTAATTTGAATTACAGCATTTTGAATTCCCTGACATTGCTACTTCTTTCCTTCAGTGTATACTTGGTGTTATATATTATATATATGTTATATATATTATACAGTGTTACTATTTATATCATGAGAAATTACTCCCAGGTAAATTGTAATTCATAGCTGTAAGAATTGTAGTACGAAAATTAATAAAAATAGAAATATCTGTTTTCTGTAAAAACTGAATGCAAATATATATATACTTATTTTGATTGTACATTAAGAGTGACGCTGTTTCTTTAATTGTATATTATTTCAAGCATTTCCAATTTTATTCGAACAGCATTTTGAATTCCCTGACATTGATACTTCTTTCCTTCAAAGTATACATACTTGGTTAGGTTAATTGTCTCTCAACAATATTCCGTAATATTTAATTCGACGGACCTCGCGAGTCGTGGTAAATCTCTATTTCATTACATATCATAATATCATAATAAAATCAATTTTATAGTTTCGTCGCGGTTAATAAATAGGGATCGATATCGGCTAATCGCAACTAGATTCGTAATTCTAGAGTAATTATACCGCTAATATCATGCATTAACCGTTCGCAGTCGGATCCATTTTAACTCGAAATTCAAAGTAGTTTTACTGACCTGTAGCATCTCGATTTTATATAACCCAGTGCATTTTACACGTATGAAATTGAATTTAGTGACCGATGCAAAACAGTTGCGCCATTAACAGTTTTCTCGATATAAACAAATCCGATAAAATGATTTTAAGACAATTTTTAGTAGCGCCTTAGAGTCACCGCTCGACTGCAAATGGTTAACAATACAATAAAAATTCCGTCGTATAACGTACCTAGATTTCTCCGATATGTACAGTGTCGCACGGAGTGTAGTCGACCACCCTATACATCCACCGAAAGCGTGCACGGACAGGCACCGGGGATTTCTGAAGACGGTTTTCAGGCTCCCGGCTCTCCGAGAACCGCTTGCTCGTGACTGCCCCCTGGCGTACTTGTTTCTCAGTAGAGGCCGGGCCGCGACCAAGGAGCAACGCTTTGTGTGTTGGACTGGAAAAAGGGAACCTCTCTGGTGGACTCGCGGGGCTCGCCGTCTCCCGTACACACCCGTCGAGACACTTGTGCCGCGCCGCGCCGCCCGTGTATTTTCCGATGTTTCGTTTCGCGCGTCCTTGTTCCGTCTAGCGCCGACGATTACGGGGAAGAGTGTTTTCGACAACACGCGCACGAGAGTCCGCGATCGATACTCGATCACCGTGCCGACGGCACTCGGTACGCGGGATTCGGGTGACTAGTGTTTACCGACCGACCGCGGCCGGCGCGTCGATTTTCGTGCGAAATCGGTATCGTTCGTCGATCCTCGTCCCTCGGAGGACGAGCCCCGCAAGAAGACACGCCGCGCGCGGTTCTCGGCCAGCGTTCAACAATCGTTGCCGAGTATTTGTCACCGGTGGTCGGTGTTCCCGTGGATCGGGGCCCGTCCGGCATTAGTGATATCCGATCGATACGGCCGAATCCAGTGAATAAAGTGTTGCCGAAAGTGTCGTCTGTGGTTAAGAAATCCGTGCGGCTTTCCTCTCGGCCCTCTGTGTCGTCGTTCTCGCTCCTTTCGTCTTGCATTCCCTTCGATCGTCCTGTCCCTTTCTTCGCTCGGCGATCCACTCTCTTTCTCCGCGTCTCTTTCTCTCTCGCTCTATCTCTCTCTCGCTCGCTCGCTCGCTCGCTCACTCGCTCTCTCACTTCGATCTTGCTCTCTGTTGCTCTCCCGTTCTTTGCTCCGCTCCTCGGTCGACCGGTCTCTCAAAGGGGGCGTGCTTGGCCACATTCAACAATGAGCGAACGCAAAACTATCTAAGCACGAGGCGCGAACGAATGGTCCCTGTGTTTTCTGCCTGTGTGTGGCCCGGTCCGAGTGTGTTTACGCCGCGAAGCACGACCTTTTTCCGATATTCGAATGGATTTACAACGGCTGGCGACATAATCACCATCGTGGCATCGTGCGCTCTCGACCACAACGCGAGAACTACCAAGTAAGTGTACCGATGGTTATTAACGCGATCATGCTTTTATTCCCCCGTGTGTGTGGTCGTCGGTTTTCCAACGCGCCGGAACGCCGCGGTTCTCTCGTTAACCTAATCAGCCGCTGTTGTACATATTAATATTTCATGAATTAAATGAGAGCCGCTAAGAGCTAATTAACTGGGGAAAAATGTGTCCGTGACTGTTGAGCTGATTTATACGTTTCCACGGGGACGATTAGGATCGGGAGGGAGGATTTGCTTTTGTGTTAAATTTACCTGAACGGTACACGAGCGCGAGGGTTAAACGGTTCGAGTTTGCTTTTGAAACGAGCGGAACGCCGGAATTCTTAACCTGTTAACCGGCTGATTTCTCGACCGTTTACAACCGTGCTATACCTAGTGCCGGGAAAGTTCGAGTACCTGGGCAAATTAGTTTATTGCGCGAACAAAGCTGCCCGCTAACGGTACAAGTACTTATATTTATTTAAGTATTCGCTATAGTCCTTTCCATTGTACATGTCGAGGTTACGCCGTGGTGCTCTATGTATTCTTAACAAGTGTACGAAATGAAGAAATAAGTACTGAAAGTTGTTGTTGAATAAAACTAGCGTTACATTTAACCATTAACGGTCCAATGCCGCCATACACGCGGCAGAAATCAATAAAACCGTAAAATCTGGCAGGAAATATTGGAAGTATAGGCACGATTGTTTCGATGAAAATGTAATATTGTTTTATTTTTTTTTAAAATGAATATCTCTTCTCTATATTTGATACAAAAATTTTCAGTTAAAAATTTCTCTTCGTCTGAGAAACAGTCTGGACTTGGCGGTGTGTGTAAACTGGAAATAAATAGTTTTGGTCCCCTAAGGGTTAAACGTTATATATTTAATATATATATTTAAACTAGCAAAGCGAAATTGGCGTTTAACACTAAACCTACCGCGGTCAAAATGACCGCTTTCTTATTTTGCAAAGTTCTGAGACTCTTTCGCGGAAAACGCTTGAATAAGTTATATTATTGGAGCAAGTTTTATAATAAAAACTTTAGAAATTCTAAATAAATTCGGTCTTCTCACTTTTGTGAGGCAGTACACGCCAGTTAGTATTACTGCTTGGTAGGTTTAGTGTTAAAGTATTCGAAGAAGTATACAGGAGTTGTGTGTTGGCTGACTCGGCTAACACTACAGTTTGAAGTTTTTGAGCTGTTCGAATATTCAAACTTCGTACATAAGAGAAGGTCGCTTAACGTCAATTAGTCGAATTTTGGGCTATCCAACGGCCCGATTATGGGAACACAGAATGAGTTACGGATCTGTAGTATTCTAAATCGTATCCGATGCGTATAAACAAAACGTTATTATCTCGAAACACGCATGCTTCATGCTTCGGATACTCGAGTTTACTGCCTCCAATGAATTCAGTGTGCACGCATTTCGTTTATATCATGGATATGCAAAGGAAAAGTGAACTATCGAAGTTAACCGATGAGTGAAATTCTTATTACGCGCGATATAACATTTAATTTTAGGTTTAATTTCTAGGTTAGATGGTATTTCTCGTAATAGCGATTTTCTTGAGAATTTAACCGGATAAATAAAAAAAGACATTGGAATTTTGGTCGAATTAATGGAATCATTTTTATGAAAACTAATATTGGGAATATTATTTTATGTTATATTTTTTCTAGTTAAATTTATTCAATAATTTATAGGATAAAGTCATAGTCTGAATAGTAAAATTAAATAATTATTATTAAAATCAAATTTAGTCAATAAAAATCCTGTTAATATAGTGAAAGAAACGG